CAAGCCATTCTATGCTTCTGTGATGTACCAAGTGCAGCAAGATGCTAGCTGCTGACAGCACTGAGGCATGGAGCACGTGAACTGAGATGAATTCACTATTTGGCTGAGCACTGAGTGCAGCTTCTCATGACACCAGGAGGATTCAAAATAGCTGGCAATAGCCTCAGAAGCATTCCTCCACCTAAGGCTCACTGAGAACAGTTAGATGTTGTACGAACTGTCCTATGAACACACTAAGCTAGAAGACTGCTCTGGGAAGTAATAGCACTTTTAAAAATTCTGTGCAGGGCAACCCATAGTCACATCTGTCAGTCTTCTGACATTTATAGGCTTGTTTCCTTGCTTGCTAACACTTTCAGTGTGCATGTATGTAAGTATGGAAGTTTATATTCAAAAGTATATAGATGGTAGCAAACTATATCCTGTTACATGTGTAAATTCAAGACAATGTGTAAGATAAAAGGGGAAAATAAGAAGCTAATAATTAGAACTTTCAGTTTAACTTCTGTTTCTAGGCACTAAGCAAATACACGCTATCTGTGTACACTAAAATCTACTTACAGTTAATAAGTTGTGTTAAATCAAATTATTTCTTCTCCTACCCCACTGTAGCAGATTTTGTGAACAGCAACGGACGTTGACTTCATTAAACTTTGCCATTGCTTCTTTCTATCTGACTAGAGAATCATAGCATAAATTAAACTTCCGACAGCACTAGGGGAGGTTCAGGCTGGACATCAGGAAGAATTTCTTCACTGAAAGGGTGGTTAAGCATTGGAATGGGTTGCTCAGGGAGGTGGTGGAGTCACTTTCCCTGGAATTGTTCAAGAAATGACTGGATGTGGCACTTATCGTTATGGTATAGTTGACATGGTGGTGTTCAGTTAAAGGCTGGACTCAGTGCTCCCAGAGGTCTTTTCCACCCTAAGTTATTCTGTGGTTCTGTGATTCTATCTGCCTAAATGAAAGAAATAACCTGGAGGAATGATAAATTAGGAAGGTGTAACAGACATCTGCAGAGCCTCAGTTGCTCATTCTGAGAACTGATGGATAAATAAAGGGATTAATTCTCGAATTTCTGTGAATCTCTGTGTGAGCTAAAGGCAAAAAAAAATCTGATGTCACTTTCTGCATCTCAAAATGATCAATTTTTTAAGGGAAGTGAAAATGGCCTAGGAGCTTGCTACAAGATACAAAACGTACACAGTGTCCATATTTGGTGGCTGTAACACTGTGCTTATAATTATAACTAGCAATAAACTCCAGATAAGTAACCTACTTGGATGATTGATGATGCTACTGCAAGAGGGTATCAGATTTTTGGACTAAAAGATAAATGTTAAAGAGTTTCAGATCTTAATTCAGTGTACTAAACAAAGGTGATCCCAGCAGCAGCAATAATGTTCTTTACCATCCCTTACCACTCTAATCTTTTGAAAAAAAGACAGATAAAACCAGAGTGAAACTTCGGAGCGAAAATATACATGGAATTGAGTTCAGCATTCAAAGATTGTACGAACATGCCATAACTATTAATTCTTTCCTTGCAGCAGTGGGACTAGAAAGGTTTGTTCCACTGGCTCCTGGCCAGGTCAGTTCACTATAAGCCAAGGGGACAGAATACCCAGAGCAATCTCCTGCCAGCCATGCTCTATGCAGTCCCAGCACACGCATGGATTGTAACAGCTGCCACTGTAAAACAAAGTGGTTGCATTTCTCAAGAACAATGAAGGAATACAAAATCCCCAACAAAGACTCTGAGAAATGTATAGCATCCAAATTTTCCACCCAGAAGCATGTGTTATGATGACACCTTCCTTAATTAAAGTAAGGAAATTCCATTTGGCACTACAATCACAAAGTCAAAAATGTTCCCAAAGAGTCTCGTGCAGTTCAAAGGGAGAGAAGTCTTTATGTGCTGCACATTTGCTACCTGACATTATGTGACCAATGTGGCGCTTGTGGCCAATATAATGCTACAAAAGTCACCAGTTCTCTGTACAGGGCATAGTTTCACAAAAATAAGTGTCTAGCAAACACACATCATATATTTATTATATATTATATATACTACATTACTAGGTAAGCATGTTGCTGATTTATTACAGTTTGAATAGGCTCACTATATAACAGGTGAGCACAATGGGAAAGCTGAGATCATGGGAAAAATATAATAATATAAAAAATATATATAATTATATATTAAAAAGTATAATAATAAAACAATTATAAGGTTATCAATGGGAAATGAACAAACTGCTTAATAAGTACACTTTATCAGATTGCATTACAGAATTACCACTAATAGAACTGTTTTCAGATTGGTTTGAATACTTTGCCTTCTGACCAGCCCAAAGTCCTGAAAAAGTTATAGCCAAGACAGTTTCTGATCTCACTGGTGGCCAGTGTCTCTAGCTTGATAATGTTAGCATCTGGCTTGCTCCTTCACCCTTGCTAAAGAAAGTCATCTAATGCAAATGATCGAGTTTTCCAGCTCATAATGGAGACATGGGGAATTACATATGCCACATTAAAATCCTGTATTTTTCTGCATGTTATAGTGGTTCTGCTTATTGCCTGCCCATCATTTCCTTTTTCACAGAGGACCTCTAAACTTTTTCAGACCCTCTAGACATATGATACAATAGTTAAAAATTAGGCAGTGTTATGGATATCACCACTTTTAAACACAGGAAACTGTACTGGCTAATTAAATAATAGCTTGCTGATGATCCCTTTAAGAAAATTAGTAAAGTTGCTTCTGATGTTTGTGAACAGAGCATGTTCGTGTGTTGCTGCGTATCCACATCCTCAGGAAAAGAAAAAATGAAGGCTCTTATTCAAAAGTCAGGTGTGTAATTTAGAGGGACAGTTGAGCTTTTAAAACAAAGATGTATGTCTCCAGACTAAAGCAAGCAAAAAAATTTTGATAGTATTTTATTAAACAGTTTAAGAACAGAAAAAAATGTTTCTGATCCCCATGCCAGTAAGCTGCCAGTTATTTTGTGCTGAAATACAGAAAGAAAACTCCAATATATTCTTTTACACTTATAATTACTTTTAAACATTTTTCTAAACAAATCTATTCCAACACAAGATTAGTGCAAAAGGTCATCTCTGTTGTTCCCATTGCATGAGTTGTGTTAACCTAAGTCTCTGGTATGGAAAGCAGTATTTATAATCCAAGGAAAAGAACAGGGATTGTCTGATGTGCTACTGAAAGTTAACAGGTCCCAAGTTTAGACTGGGGATAATGTTGTTCTTTGATAAACAGCCACTGTTTCCTCAAACCCAGCTGTCTTTGGCATATCAAATCTGTCAGAGGTGCCTACAGCAGTGTGTAGGCTATTATAACACTCAACATATATTCTCACTGAGAAATGTCAAATCACATACCTTTCATAGTTTTCATATTTGGTGGCAAATTTAGGTTACTATGCACTACGTATTGTTTTCAGAATAAACTTCTATTTCCAGGGGTGATGTAAGATGAAAGTTATGAAATTATGTCATGTACCTAAGAAACCACACTTTCTTAGATGTTTCATTAAAAACATTATTACAGAAATTCAAAAAATATTTATAATATGTGGTTTAATTTTTTTCAAAGGTGGGAGCTTGAACTTAGACTTTTAATTCATGTATAAGTGTGTAAAGAAAATAATTAGGATTTTCAATATGCCTGTAAGGGAATACAACTGGTTTTCAGAAGAGTTATCAGAACACTTGCAAATCAACCAGAATCTACTTAAATGTTCCCCTAAACCTAATTTTGAATACTTAGATATGAGGATTGCCTTTTTGTTGCAAAATTGAAAAACAATTCATTTGCATGTAAATCAATGTATTTCATTACATATGCAGAACTTAATAAAAGCCAGAATTTATCCATCATAAAAAATATGCCCATGAGCTGGAATCTAATGTATATATTTATAACTCAAGTTAGCCTTTGACATATTAGCAATACTTGGGGCCACTTCCTTTTCCAGAAGGAAAATTACTGCAGGAAAAGTGTGGCAAAAATAGGTTGGTCCAACCCCATTCACATGGAGCAAAGGATAAAAAAATGACAGAGTCTCTCCTTCCTTACACATTCATTTCATCGTAGAATCATAGAATGGTTTCGGTTGCAAGGGACTTTAGGGCTCATCCAGTTCCAACCCTCCTGCCGTGAGAAGGGACACCTTCCACTTGCTGCCTAAATGGTTGTGGGGAAAAAAAGACTCCAAGCCAAATTAGGTAGGAGATAAGATAAGGATACAAAGGCTTTAATGAGCCCCCAGGCTTTCTGGAATACCTCTAATGGCTGCTCCTGAATACAGGTGTTCACAGTTTTTATAATGATTTTCATCCAATCCCTGTCCGGCCACCGCCCAGGTTCTGCCCCAGGCATGCCTCTTGGGAATTGGGTCTGGGGGCGTTTTGGGACCTTCTACTAGGCAACTAGTGACAGGACAAGAGGATATGGCCTCAAGCGGCACCAGGGTAGGTTTAGACTGGACATTTGGAGAAATTTATTCACGGAGAGGATTGTTAAATGCTGGAATGGACTACCCAGGGAGGTGGTGGAGTCACCATCCCTGGAAGGTGTTCAGGAAACCACTGGACGTGGCATTTAGTGCTATGGTTTAGTTGACGTGGTATTTGGTCAAAAATTGCGCTCGATGATTTCAGGTCTTTTCCAACATAACTGATTCTGTGATCTGTAACTCGTCAGAAGCATCATATCTGTATTCCCTAAGTCAGTGAGAACACGACTTTCCAAGCAATCCCTAGGTAGTTTATTTCTTCTGAATCTCCACCCATCAGTCCGTGGGGGTTTTTTGCACGTACAGGGAAATAAAAGTTATTTATGGCGAGTTTTTGTTTACTTAACGCGACTCAACCCACAGACGCCCAAGGCTCCCCCACAGCCCCAGCGCGGCCCGGCTGCCCGCTCCTGCCTTAGGGGGCGGGGCCTCGCCCGCTGTGGGCCAATCAGCGCCAGGCATGGGCCAGCCCCCGGGGCGGGACTGGCTCGGCGGGCTGTCACTCGCGTGACGTCACCGCCCCGCCAGGATGAGCGGGCATACCGAGGTATGGCCGCCGGCAGGGTTCTCTGAGCTGTCCTTGTTGCCGGTGGGGTCCAAGTGCTTGTGTTCCACTGGGACACGGGGGGTTCTGCAGCCTTGGCAACTGCCCTTCCCTTCTGAGAAGTCCCCGGAGCTGAGGAAGGCGGGGCGGGGTGGGGTGGGGTGGGGCGGGGTGGGGTGGGGTGGGTGTGCTACCGCCTCTGCCTTCCCCGGAGAGGCGCATCCATGGCTGGTGGGCGGCTGAGCCCGCCTGGGCTGGTCCTCCCCGAGCAGCGACCCGGAGGTCGGAAAGTGCGGCTGTGGCTGCTCTGCCCAGCTCCGTGTGCAGGCGCCTCTGCCATCCCCTTGTCTGGCATCTCCCACCACTCCAGCCGGGCAGAGGCTCTGGCAGCAGCAGCAGCTCGGCCAGGCCGCCGCCAACCTCCTGCCCCTCTGCGCAGTTCCCCTGTGGGACCGCTGCCAGGGAGAGCCTCTGGGAGACAGTGGCATGAAGTTGGGTTTCATCGCAGCACCGGGGTATTTGCCTTTTTGTTCTCAGAAGCTGCAGCAGGAACACGTATGCTGTGCCGTCCAGCTCCCTTTCGTTCTGCAGAACATCAGCTGGTCCCATGTTTGGTTCTGCTCCTCCTGTGAAGCTGGCAGCACCTTGCTGTCTCCTGTCCCCGGGGAGAGTTCAGTCCTCGACTGTATGCAGGCTGCTGTTCCACAGAGTGGTTCCCGCTTTGCAGTCTGGAGGTGTTTGCTGGGCTGTGTCTTGACGTCACATATTGTGGTTTAGGCTGCTAGTTAGCTCTGGAAAAGCTAGACATAGATACATAGAGAAGGTAAGGATCATTACAATTTATGCTTTGAAGCCAGGGATGCTTCATTTTCTAATGCAGCACATAAGGTGTTGAGTAATAAAGTGACTCGCCCATTTTTACATGGAAAATCTTTGATCCAGGGGTAGAGTTACTCGTTTAGTACTCTTAAATGGAAGAAATACAAGCAGGCTTGCAACTTTTGTTTATTTCTTGTCTGATTTTAGTTCATCATAATGTGAGGCCTGGAAACATGCTTCCTTTTTTTTTTTTTTTTTTTTTAATAATATTAGGGTTTGTTTCATTTCTAGGTTAAAGTGAAAATACCTTTTGGAAACAAATACCTTGATGCTATCTTCTCTGTCCCAGAGAAGAAATCAACATATGGAGTGATTCTTACCCATGGAGCTGGAGGAGATATGAATTTCCCTCACTTACTGTCTCTGGCAGCCTACCTGGCATCCCATGGAGTTCAGTGCCTGCGGTTTACTTGTAAAAGCCTTAATCTTGCTTACAGAACTAAGGCTTTCAAAACAGTTGTGGTAAGAAGTGACCAAATTCTGCCAAAGCTTAAATCCATTGGCGGGGTCTTCTAGGTATCTTAAAATTATGGCCAAACGTTAGTCAAGGAAGGGCAGGAAAATTGGAACCAGTGATTAACTAAATGGAGTGCTGTCTGTACACAGAAACAGCAGAAGCAATTCTTACATGGGCAATAGCTGGAACAGCTTCCACAAGTGTGTGGGTTAGAGTGCAGGGAGAGAAAGGAAAGCTTGAGGAAAAAGCAAGGGTGTTTCCTGGGAAAGTTTACAGCTTGAGAAAAACTCAAGTGTTTGGGATGGAAACAAGAGGTAGGTGTTTTGGGAGGGCTTGGTGAGGGGTGGGGGATTAAGAGAAACAGCTTTGGAAGTAGTTTTGAGAGAAGTTGATCTGGGAGTTGTTCTGGGTCTCTTAGGCTTGGAAGCTGGGAGAAGCAGACTTTTGGGAAAGCGTAGGGGACTGGGTCACGGCAGGATTTGAAGCAAGAAAATTTGGAATTAGCATATGAGAGCCCTAGAACCTAAGCAATCTTTGATTTCAAAATCAGTTTAAACTTCTATATGCAGGTGTTTCTCTCCTGCTGCTGCTGCTACATTGTTAAAGATGCTCCTACGTAATTAAGTTTTGTTAAAATAAGGAAGTTTTTGTTATAGTAGAATCAGTTTAGATGATCCTCCTGTTCTGGAGCATGTAGGAAGGAGTGGAAATTTTTTCCTGGTTATTTTGTGACTTTTAGTGGGGCATGGGAAGCACTTTTCCTTGAGCATGAGGCAGTTTTGTAGGGGAACAAATTCCAGTTCTTAAGGAACCAATTTGTATATCACTGTGATTATATGTACATTAACTTGAAGTCAGACTTTTCTGTCTTTAATTCTTTTTGAAAGAAGCACAATGTTGTTAGTGAGTTTATGTTAATATGCTGCTGTGTAAAGGTAGTTTAAAGGCCTCTGCTAAGATAGCATCTGATTAGTTATCTCCTAAAAAACTGAAAAAGTTGTTGCTGAATTTTATCTTTTCTGTCAGACTTAACTGATCGTGTCTCAAACGTTTAATTGGAAATACATGATGTGAATGAAGGGCATTTTTGGGTAACTTATTTTGCCTTTTGATGGGCCAAGAGTGTGTATGGCCTCTGTTACTATGACTAAGTTGATACACGGTAATCGCTCATGTTTTGGTAACTTGATAGGGCACCTGATATTTTAGACTCGCTGAGAGCTAATGTGAAATCGATTATGTTTATGTTGTTGCTTCAAAATGTTATGAAACCATTTGTGTGAAAAAACCAAGAGAGCAACTTGTATGTATCTGTTCTTTGTTTAATCTAAACTGTTAAAAGTGCTTCCAATTTTGTGTTTACTGGCTACAAACAGAAGAAATCTCCAGCTTTGTAATTTTGACTTGTAATGCTTCTCTTTATTTCTTTAGGAATACTTAAAACTTTCTGATGATTATAAACTTTATGGTGTCTTCCTTGCAGGTATTGTTTTATTATCAATAATTTTCTCTCTTACACTGTCTCCAGTAATAGCAGTCTGTAATTGTTCCAAGTCTGTCCCACTTTGCTGAGAAGTGAATGAACAGATGTGGGTAACAGGTTTCTGTCTGATGAGGGAACAAGCTGAATAACCTCCCAGTAGTGGGTATTCCCTGGGGAGAGCTGGCAGTCGAATGCTCTGTAACCTTCATTAGTGGATCATCAGCCCTCTGCCTGCCCTGGTACCATGGGTGCCAAGCCCACTTACAGATCTGCATTTGGGGGTCTTCCCCTGGAGCTGAATGTGACCAGCCCTGGAGCTGGTGGCTGTGCAGGGCACATGTGCAGCTGGCTTGAGCAGCACTGCTGCTCGGGTCACCAGTGGGAACGTTCAGCCTGCTGCTTCCATCGGATTCTCTTGAGAGCATGGCTGTCTAGATCTATTCACCCTTCTCACGGCGCCACAGGTCTTGCTGTAGAGGAGGAGGGAAAGAGCAACAGATTGTATTTTCCAGGTACTTTGGGAGGAAAACTTACTTATCTCTGAAAAGTGACAGGGCATGAGTTTTTTGGTAATCCACGTGTACTTTTTAACTGCAGGTCTTGAAGAATTCTGGTTACGGGCAAATGGAAAACAGTTTTCCCAAAACAGGTTTTGGTAATTAAAACCTTGTGTGAAAAGGGGAGTAGATGGGGGTGATTAGGAATAATTTGATATGGGAAATTCAAAACGTTCTCTGACTAAGTGAAACAAAATCTGTAGTTAAATTGCAAGTTAATCCCACTGGAATCAGCCCCTTGCAACACTCAATTACAGAGCATTGTCAGCTCATATGCCTCGTCTTTGAGGAGATGCTTTGATATTCCCTTGCTGTCACTGACTGACCTCGTGCTACAGGTTCATACTTAATCTTTTTTTTCCCCCTTCTACTTTCACTTTTAGGTTGAAGTTTGAGGTGTGCATAAACACTTGCTGGTTTTGGGTGTAAGGTGCATAGAACTTTGTTTTAATTTGAGCAGATTGGGGTTGCATGAAAAGAATTATACAAGATTATATAATAGTTATCTCAAATTTCAAGGCTCTGGAGCTCAGGACCTGTCCCTCTCTTCCCCCTGCCCCCAAGATGGGCTGTATCCGTCCAGTATTGCAAAGGATCCCTCTTCATGTATCTTTTCTTTCTTTTTCCCTTCTTTTTTAAATGGGGACATGAAATCATAATATACTTAGACAATTATTTTAGCAGAAAACATTGAAATTAAGGTTAATATTTTTCATGGAATAAAAGAATAAAAGCATCACTAGCATTTCTTACTGCGGGTACACTGGAATACACTCAGTTGGATTGTTTTAGGAGTTGTTTACTCAAAAAGAATGTGAATGAGGTGACAGCAGATGTACTTTTTTCCCTTTATTTTTACATGGGAGAAAGGCCGTTCCATGGGCTCACGAGCTGCTGCCTCTCTGATACGTCAGCTTAGCCAGAATGATGATGGTGATGACTTCATTCGAGGTCTCATATGTTTATCTTACCCACTGCATCGACCAAAACTTCAGTCCAAGCTCCGGGATGAAGATTTATTGTTTATCAGGTGTCCAGTGCTGTTTGTCTCAGGATCAGCAGATGAGATGTGTGAGAAAGTGAGTACCCTTGTAAATCCTGCTATGAAAGGGCAGTCTGGAGGAGTAGAAATGAGCCAGAGTGACATCTGTACGGTGTACCTGATTACAGCCTTCTCTAAATATATGTCTTCTGAAGGAAGCCTTGGGTAGGAAACTTCACTGGACATAAGGAAGCCTGGTGGTGCTTTCCTTTGCTACTTAAAAGCTATGGATCATGCTTGATCTTCCACTTTAGCAAAGTCATCTTTGGGCCACTGAAATACCACTGATTTAAGTGTTTTTTATTGTACAAATTAAAAGCAGAAGGAATGAGTTGTTATTTTAACCATTTCAGATTACAAAATGTATGCTGTACTGTGCTACCAATTTCATATTTGTCACATTTTCATGACAAATTCTTCTAGCAAAGCAGTTCTGGCTCAGAAATCAGGCTTCTATGGTAGAAACTGATATTTTTGTAGAGTTGAAGAACAGGTGTGCAGAGGTGAGAACACGGTGGTTTTCTGCCTCATTTTCCTGCAAACACCTATCTGTTGAACAGGTCAGCTTGAATTTGGGAGTGTGTCCAACCAGCACTTTCCATGCCTGGACAGCTTCTAAGGAGTCATAGTGCTTTTGAGAGGAATTGTCACCAAAATGAGTCAGACTAGCAACCAGCAAGATCCCTGCAGTGCCCTCTTAATGGGGAAATCTTTAAGAGTTTCTGAACTGGTTCTTTGATCTGTTTGCTGAGAAAGTGCAACAGCATCAAAGTCAGTCCCTAAGGAATTATATTGCTATTCAGCCCCTACAGACAAACCTGACTTAGGAAGTATCTGTATTGCTAGCACTACCCCCTGACAATAGAAGTGGATTCCTTCGTCATTTTGGGGAAGGTGCCTGCACAGGGCTGTAACCTTTTCAGTTTTTGAAGTTTTAATTTGCTGCTATTCTGTGTTTGAGTGAGGGCAGACCTTTGAGCAGATCCTGTTGCTGAGCACAGCATTCATATCATGAATACAGAATACATCCTGTTTTCCTATCAAGGTGTTTTTCATGTGCACACAGATCCATTTTGTTTTTAAGAGCTGCCTATCAGGCATTACACAGGCAAAGCGAGAGACATCTAGGAGTTGCACAGTTTGTAGCAGCTGATTCTCTAACTTTTTAATTCTTATTTTCTCCATAGCAATTGCTAGAAGGTGTGGCAAGCAAAATGAAAGCCCCTAAAAAAATCCATTGGATTGATAAAGCCAACCATGGGATGGCAGTCAAAGGACGAACAACAGACGATGTCATGGAAGAAATAAATGCCCAAGTTTTTTCATGGCTTAGAGAGAATGTTGAACTGGAGCACAAATAATTTGCAGTGTTTATGCAGTATCTTCATATAGTTTTTCCTAAATATGGCAAAGTAAGAGTTTATTATTTTTGAGAGGCGTATTTTTTAAAACATCTTCTTAGAGGTCTCAGTGCAAATGCAAATAAAGCTTTGTATAAATGAAAAAAATATGCAAAACAATAAAGAACTTCTTGAAGGACAGAAAATATTTCATATCATGGCAGCATTTTTTTCTGTGTTTCTGTGCAAATAACCGTATACAACACTTAGGAATGCAGAGCACTAAGTAAATGCTTTTGAATAACATTTGAAGTAATATACTGGAAAATATCTACTTAGCATAGCTTTAGGTACCTTCAATTTCTGAGTACATCACTGATGCTCTACATGCTTGCAATTAAAACCTACTGATTTGTAGAATTCTACCAGCACATCCCTTGAGGCTGGCGGGCCTGGTGTACTCACCTGCCTTGGTGCCACTCCCAGATGCTGAGAAGAATCTCTCACGGTTCACAGTGTTGCCACCTCAGGGAGCCAGACTGTGGGCCTGTGTGGGGAGGCGGAGGCAGTGCAGGCACAGCTGGGCAGTGGATCCAAGACTGGGTTACAGTTTTGAACAGTCTCCTCCAGACACGGCCTTTGTGTAAAGGACTGATCACGGAGGCCCTCTCATAAATACTGATAAACCACAAATTGTATTTATAGTGATGGAGGAGCTCCTGCAGCAGGAAGCAGTTCTGCCTCCATTGTGACCTGCTGCACAAGGCTTCTCTCCAGAGGGCTCTAAAGAGGCAGGCCAGGGTCTGGACCTCATTACACATTAGCAGGGGCAACTCAGGTCCTTGTCTGAGCTCTGACATTGCACAGCAGATGAAACACTTTGTGTGTGCAGGCAGCTGCAGCCTTCCCCATTAAGGGCTATGAGTAACCTGTGGGTGTAACCAAAGCTTACAGCAATATATGAATTGTGTTTTTCCTTCAGGTTAATAAGATTTATTATGAACCCTTTTTGAGAATACTGATCCTCTCAGAAGGGTCAAGGTTATGGTCTGAAAAAGAAGCCTTTGGGTAGATATGTGGTGTGGGGAGCAAATGTACAATTCTCATCTGCCCTTTTTTGCAGAACATACTTCTGAAAAGACTCAGTATAACAAGCATGAGTAAAAAGTATCTGCATCTCCAAGGTAACTCGGGACAGGAATACATGACTGATACAAACCTGTTTTTTATTAAAAAAAAAAAAAAAAAAAGTGTTTGAACAAGACTCTGCCACCACTGCATGATAAAAAGGAAATAGGACGTACTTTGTTTTCTTCCGTATGTTGATCATTATATGGCAAACTTCGTAATATCCACTGACATTATCCACTGGCATATTAACTCAAATTTTTCTTCTTTTTTTAAGAAGACAGTCTCAATGTAGGCAAGTACTGAAAAAAATTAATTCCTTTCTGTCAGAGTTCATCTTTGGCCTGCAGTCAAGAAAGAAGAAACTTGTTTCAGTTAACTGGAAGCTCAATTTTTCACTGTCTAGTCCTGCAAATACATCAAGAAAAGTTTCTAAGTTTGATAGGTGTTAATGGCTTGGCCTGGTAACTGATACCAGGGGCACTGAGCAGCGCCTCTCCTAGGGGGGTTGACAAGAACTGAAGACACTCAGCACTTCATGTTTAACTCTGCACGTGCTGTACCTTTTTTCGGTGGCAAGTGCACGGGAAAAGGTCATCATCAGGCTGTGGCACCTTCTCCATTCCATCTCTGATTTTTGGCTCACTCACTTGCAAGCTGGCATATTCCTAGTTTAAAAAAAAAAAATGTATCATTAAATCATAAACTTGTTAGATTGTATGTCTGGCTGTAAATACTGCACCAACCAACTCAGCTGAGTAATTCTATAAAAACTCTGGGGTACACAGTCTGTCACTCCACACTGTGTCACAGACAGGGTAAGCAGACACTTAACTGCAGAAGGGAACCCCTTCGGGTGCCTCACTGGAGTTTTGGTACCTTGGTGCTAATGCACAGATATTTTCAGCTGTGGTTCACAGGGCGTGCATCTAATGTGGAATTCTTTGATCGTTGTGGGCAACATATTCTTGCAGATTAGATCAAGATTTATGGGATCCGAGTGCTTCTCAAAGCATCATCATAGTCTTAAAGGGTTTCACAGGATATAATTGAATACAATGTTTGTAAACCGAATTAAGATTTTAATTGCTGCTGCTTGCTTTGTGGCTTCAAGTACTGGGCTGCCCAATTTCCAGCAGCTCTGTTGCCCTGAATTCTTTCTCTGTGATTTCTATTTTTGTGCCAGTAGCCATTAAAAATATACTGACCTGGAAAAGTTTGAAGTAGTAACAAAAAATGTGGTCTCCCATGAGATGGTTTCTTGCAAATTCTTGTCCAGATTTTGCAATATTTTTTGCCTGTCAAAAAAAATATTGCTTTGGTTTTTTATTATTCCCAAAACTAGTATTTATTTGAGGATGCCAGTGTTGGTTATGAAGTTAAGTATGATGTTGACAGTTTAGGATAACTTAAATAAGCATTTTTAATTTAAATGTTAAGGCACTGTTACGAAAATGTTCCTAATTTTTTACAAAGTTTAATTTCAAATTAAGGGCAGTATTATGTATTTTTCAAGTGGTTTTCTCATTTGTGGAGTTGATGAAAATAATGTTTAAGTTCTTCTAATATTTTTTTTGTTTGCTTTAAAGAAAGGCAATTTTTGTTCTCTTCTAGAAACATTACTGAACACTTCTAAATGTGTATTTACCTCTTCATCATGCTCTTTTGCCCACTGTAGTTTTTCTAGTAGATCACTCAGGTCACTTTTAAATGGAATATAATGTTTCCATGGCTGCAGCTCATTATAGAAATGCTCATAGTATATGGAGTCTTGCTTTAGCACCACACTGTTTCCTGCTAGTAGATAAGGCAATCTGTATGCTGCCACTGTGCCATCAATATTAATTTGATATTTATACTGGAAAGAAAAGGACCACAGGTTATGAACAAACACAAGATCCCAGTGGCTTGGTTAGGTTATATGATTCTGAGGGCACTGGTGTTACTGACTTGCCGATATTGAGACATGTAGGATTGGCTAGGCAAGCATCAATGTCTAAGTAGGTTTTATTATTTAGGTTGGAATTCATCACAGTGCAGGGTACACACAGCTGCCCTCTTCGTCAGTTAAGTTCTCTGGGAATTCTTAGACGCTCATCCTCTGATGTGAGGGTAGATGTGCCACTTCATCCACCGATTTTCCCACTATGTTAGTTATGTTAGTAGTCCTGATCGCTGAATCAGGAAAAAGAAATAAAAAGGAACTTGAAGTTATATAGATTACACAAGGTTCTACAGAACCTTTAGATGTAAATCAGACATAATTATCCTCAGTGTAAGAGCTACATAGCAGTTAATCTCCCTGGAGGGATGTCTATTCATGCTTGTTACTGGTGTTGTCCTGAAAAACTAAAACCCACATTATTAAAAATAATATATACTAAGTTATTTGACAATGGGAAAGAAACATCAAGAACCTAGTTCAATGGAAATGGTTAGTGGCTTACCTTAAAAAAATCAAAAAATGAAATGTGCTTAACAATGGGGCCATAGAGGCTTTCATCATGTTTAAAGAAAAAAAAGTTTGTGAAAGCAGCATCTATGGTCTCTGGATATTTTCTGCTGAGTTTTACAAGCTCAAGCCTCTCTTTGCGGCTGTCACGTCCTCTCCAGAACGCTGTGGTATTCTTGTCTTCCCATGATGGGCCAGTGTTGGCTTGAACTGACATCATATCCAGACTGACTCTGGAGGAGAAAGAAGTGATTTAATAGTGAAGCCTGCTGGAAATATTTTACATTGCAATTACTTCAAAGTACCAACAAGCAAATACCAAAGATGAAGGTAAGTCATGAGCACACCATGGTCTGCATCAATATCAGTATTTTGCAGCAATAAAACCAGATAACAGATGTTAAGTTCATAAGCGTGTGGCATGACAGCATCAGTTCAACAACATGGCATGTGGAAAGAGTACCTGGCAATTGTTATGGAAAAAAGTAGGTAAAAGTGGATATGTTTTCCAAACACGTGAAAGTGATGCAGGGTAAAATAACTTGCTTAATACATCATATTTCACTTCCTTAAAAACGTTGCTAAATTAAAACACATAAACTGGGAGGGCAGGAGGTAGCAAAATTAGAAAAAGTCTTGATAATAAAAAAAAGGAACATGAACTCAATGCAGTGAAATGATAAACAGTTTCAAGATGGATTATAGAGATCTCTTAGAAGCTGGCTTGGCAACATTTCAGGACAACGAGAGAACAGTTGCCAAGCCTAATCATGATCAGTAATTAAAGTGGGAGATGGTAGCTCCTAGTTCAAGAATTCTAGCTGTGTTGGGATTTTAAAGGTACAGAAAAAAGGATTCTAACAGAATCAGGAATAAAAGACACCTGGCCAGTCATCAACATGTTCGTGCAGGGAGAAACAAAGCAAACAAACCAAATGCCTACCCTTGAGAGATTCTAAGTACTATTAATTTTGTTTTTTTAAATAAATGTTAATGTATTGATTACACAGTTATTGCCTACCTGCAGGGTGCCATTGTCTCAATGAATAAATGAAAACAGTTAATACACTGTTAATATATGTTATCTCTATGGAAAATCATTCACTGTGAATTTTGTGGAAAGTTTAAGCAATTTCTTACCGTCCCATAGTCTCCAAAACTGAGTCTGTTAAGTCATATGTTGGCATAACGATATCTTTTGACTCATTGGACCCACACCACGAGAAGATGGGGTGCAGGTTCTGTGGGGACTTCCTTTTCTCCAGAGGCCAGTCCCCCAAATTAACAAAAAATTCTACATCTGGCATTTTCACCTAAACAGAAGCAAAGTAGGCACAAGTGCAATTTAACACAAAGCAGTACTCTTCTGCTGGCATCTTGTATTTTGAAAGCAGGAGGAAAAAATAACCAGGAGTCTAATATACTTAATATACCTGTAATAAATCATTAGACTTCAGAAACATGTTAGAAGTACTGAGACTGCAGAGTAAAACCTACAAGATAATATCTTTTTAAAAAAGTTTTGTACAAAGTCATGTAAATGCTCCCTTTTTTTTAAGGCATAGGAACACCCCCTTTTAGAAGTTGGTTTCTTTACCTGATTGGCCACACAATCTTTGTATCAGGCTAGCACTGGGATCTAGTAAAGAGTTGTATAGTTCCAAGGTAAGTTGAACCACCTTGTTACTATGTGGGATATTGCTATTGGGTGGTAAATTAGTTTTCTGTCACATGAGCGAACTGATTCACCTTGTGTCTGCAGGATGCCTAAATCCAACAGAAGAAATGAACAGCTATGATGGGAAGACCACATTTAGTCAGCACTGGGGTTAATTATTAATCATAACATCCTCACTTATTTTAAATACTCTGCAGTATGGAACCATTGCTGAAATCACTGTCACAGCTAAAAAGCAAGCAAAATACTGTTTGTGGCCAGGAAGCAGAATAGAGGGCATAATTTTGCAGCTGTATGAAACTGTGATGCACTGCAATCTTGAGCATTGCATGTGGTTTTGGATATTTGCAAGTGAAGTAAGAGAAGGAACAAAGAAAGGCAGCTTTATACTTTTCCAAAGAAAGGACCAGCTGCCTTGTGAGGAAAAACTGAAAATGGTAGGACAGTTCAGTCTGGAAAGCAAAAGATGACATATGGCTGTGTTTTACAGAAACCTGAGGGTACATATTATGTCAGTGTAGAACTCATGTTGTATCTCAGTTCACTCTTAATTTTTAAAAAAATATAAATCTCTACTACATCCCCCTCAGTTGCCTCTTTCAAAGCAAAAGAAGTTAATAATTTGGCAAATATCAAACACTCTCCTAAATGGTTGAAGATAGTCTTCTTTAACTCGACAATACAGGAAGAGGCAGATACCCAAAGCAGTACTTTTTGCCTTCAGGTGGACTGAAAACGTTTCGTTGTGTACCTTTTGTGGGAGTTCTAATCCTCAGCACTAAACTTCATTAGCACAGTGCCATCTAATGGTTACAATGGGCATACAGCCTACAAATTGTATTTTATCTACATCTTCAATGGCAGAATCATTCAACAGGTTATACCTTCTTCTCCAACCAAAAGATATCTTGTCATTCAGTGACAATGTCTGGACAGAAATTTACGAGGTATTTAATGGGACTGAGACAAACTGTGTCTTCTAGATCTGTAAACAGTTTCTGTCTTCAGAGTTAGCAATTCTTTTTCAATGTTCAGCCTAAATTCCTTAGACGCAATTCAATTCCATTATTTCTACTGACTACTGACACCAAGAACAGTTTACTTCCATCTTCTGCAGAGCAACCTTTTAGATAATTAAAGGCTACATTCATGTCTTCCCTTAGAAACTGTTAGATGAAACAATCCCCATTTAAATGATTTTTCATTTGTATGTCTAGTCATTCTTACCACTTTCCTGTGCAATGTCAGTAAGTGGGCAGTCTTTCTTATGACAATCATGACAATCAAAGGCAGACAGCGTAGCATAACTGATCCATTACTCATCCTGAAGTTGGTTACTCTACATTTCTTTCCCATGTTGTGTTTATGCATGTGGTTAGTTTTCACAACAGCATGCTACTGTTGACTCATATTACATTTGTGATACCTTAAACCTTCACGCTTTTCTGCAGAAAATTACCACGCACCCTGTTTTAAACAGCTGTCATAACTATATCACTTTTCCAGCCTTTGTGTAGTATCCTGCCCTTGTCACTTTATCCATTTTTTCATACAGTATCTCTTACTTGTTAAGACAATTTAAAGTTATAATGCTGTACCATGAGGTGCTTGTGGGTTCTTTCATTTTTGCTATCTGAAAATTCAGTAAGCATATTCTCTAGTCCATCATTCAGTCAAAATATAACTAGCTATTAAATGGTGATTGAATCTATGATAAATCTCTGAAAAATATGTTTGTGACACCTTTCACATCTCTGGAAACACTGACAACAATTACTTAAGTAAGGCTTTCCAAGCAGGTTACATTAGTTTCTTCTAGGCAAAGACTTCTATGTTGTTTGTGAGAAACTTGTGAGACTTACCCCCAAAAGCCTAAAATGAAGATACTTAACATCATACAGGGAAACTGTTATCTTGTTATAGAAGGAAATTACAGTGCTGTGACTTATATTTCATGATAAATCCATGTTGTTTCATACCAATTACCTTATATTTCAGCTACTTACAATGTGCTTATTTTTACTAAATTTTTAAGAAACCTTTCTAGGTGAACAACTCCATACTTTAGTAGTTCTTCTCTCTTTCTTCTCCCCTTTTTAAGGGGTCAGGCACTTTGCCTTTTTTCAGTCAAAACCAGATATTAACTTGGCTATATTAATATTTCTCTTTCTACTTATTTTATGTAAAAATCACATATTTGTGTGTGCTGAAACTTCAGCCCTGCTATATTCTGTCACTGTGTACATGCCAGGTATTTTTCCAAAGTTTCCCTAGGAAAGAGTCTTCATGATGCTTTTTGCTTATACATCAAGGGAGTTTCCCCACACCCCACCTGCTGGGCTTTTGGTACTCCTCCTTAATTGAATTTAATGAAAAACGATATACATTTCCTAATTTTTTAAGTCATCCTGTAAAATGTACTTGCAAATTTTCTATTAGATGCTACAGGATGATTTATTTTGTCTACAGAAAAAAACCCAACACAACCTGTTCCAGATTTATCAAACTCACCTATAAAAGCCTGCTATTCAATTAACTTTTGTAATACTCTGATCGATGGCATTCTAGAACATACCAGCTTCGAACAAGGAAAATCCATCTGACCTTTCCATTATTAATAAAAGAACTGGAGCTTTTTAACAGAAACAGCAACAAATATGTAGAAGTGCATTTGTTAAGCCCAGGCTTCTATAAATTGGGACATACAGAATGTGCAGAAATACTCACTTTTCTTGTCAAAGAAAGCAGTATGGCATCCATGAAAATTCTGAAGCCAACATGTTCCCCATATGTCTTTATATAAACCTGAAAATAAACAAAGGTTTTATTGGCCTGGTGTTTTCATTTCTGAGAATAGCTGGCACAATTTAGAGCTCTTTTAATTGCTTAGCAACTAATCAGACAGATTGTAAGGCTGTACAGATTTACGAATCAGCTGGGAAGCTTTAGAAATCTCATCACAGAAAAGTGACAAAAAAAATGAAAAATTACAAGCTTTGCCTGCTTTTTTAAATATTCCAGGTCTGTTTCATGGAAACAGAAACTGGTTGCCTATTTCTGTGGTGTTCCATTGTTCTCATTTCCATATAAAACTCTACTGAAGTACAGTTTTGTTAAAAAGAAGTGTAACTCTGATCCTTCGTGGAGCTAAAAGTAGTATTTCCTTACCTCAGAATAATGCATGATGTAATTTATTAATGCACTCCAAATTAGATGATTGTGACACTTCACAGTGATATTATTCAGCGAGCAGGAAACTGAATTAGCATTTAGGAGACTTGGATGTATGCCCAGTACTCATATTGATTGCCTGGAAAGTAATCTGCCTTTGCTGTGTTGCAGTTGTTTCAGTTGTAACGTGGACAAGAAGCACTCACAAAGCAGGACAGATATTGCTGAGCTCATATACAAACTGCAAAGTATTCAAGGACAGAGAAGCAAGCGAAGAAACTTTTACAATTGGGAACAGCCAAACTGCCCAGCTGCATGATTTGCTACCAAGTTCCCACATGGACTTCAGATTAACCCATTCCATACCTCATTATCTTTGATGGTGTAGTGACACAAACTCTGCCTTTGTCCAAACCTCTGCGGAATTTCTTTTGCAATCTTATCTGGATCAACAGTGGGAAAATTTGCTAGGTCTCTTTGAATCTGTGGAATGGTATGAGGGCAGTTCATCTCTTCCAGCCATGCACTGCTGTCCTCCTGAGGGCAGTCACAGTTTTCATGGTAAATAGGTCCTATCAGGAACAGAATTATTATTTTTAATAAATCATACTACTGACCTGTTGAGATCACAAAAGAGGGTTAGGCACTGAACATTCATTGCTTAGGGCCAAACATTCAGCAACTCTCTGAATGGACATGTTTGAAATTTTTTTTAATTCCAATGGAGTCATGTCAACCTACATCAGTTTCTGTGTGAGCCCTCTCCATGTATTTGCTAGGCAACAGCTTCACAGCATTTGCTTATTTTTATTATTTTAAACAGTACGCGTAGGACACTTACCCATAATTCCAATGGAATTTGATAGTTCAGAAAAGTACTGAGGTCCCAAAGAATCCTATGCTTATCTGAGAAGACATTCTGGGACACAGTTTGTGAGAAAAACTGTGACAGGAAATCTGTGTGTTATGCTGCCTCTTACCTTTTAAAATATATGGAGACTGTGCAACATGTTTATCTCCAGTTTTGACTTCTATCTTCAGGTTTTGGTAGCTGGCATACATCCTGTATCTCACGAGGAAGGAACCATCTTTCCTGTCTAACACTTGCACACCAACCCGAGTGAACTGTTCATCAGGAGCAGTGATCTTCACCTGGAATGCATTTTCACCTGGTGATGAAGTGAACCTAACCAGAGAGTAAGTGGGAGCTTAATAAAAAAGCCAACACACAACAGGTTTCTTAGTCCAACCAATTCCTTCTCAAGCTGACAGATTTCCAATAACTTCCCTGAGCCACGCCAGCCCTCTTTGAGTACATCCTAACACTCACGAACAAGGCGTAATTTTTCCAAAGAGAATTTTGTTAGGTTACCTGAAACATCTCATGCTGTTGAAGCATAAGGCATCAAGAAGGTTACACTCAGTCATGAGCACACCTCTAAAAATCACTTGGTGCCCTACATGGTGAACAGTGTTGGAAATATGGTCTTTGACTATATGGGAACAGAGCAGCTTTAAAAATCCAGCACAGCTCTTGATTAGTAGTAGCTCAAATATAAAATTAAGGGAAGGTAGAGAGCATGTAGATAAATGGATATATCTGTCCTGTAGGGACAGAACAAGGGGCAAGGGTTTTAAAGTGAAAAAGAGTAGATTTGATTGGATTATAAATAAGAAATTGTGAGGGTGATAAGACACAGAAATAAGTTGCCCAGAGAAGTTGTGGATGCCCCATAAGTAGAAGTGTTTAAGGTCAAGCTGGAGACAGCTTTGAGCTACCTGGTCTAGTAGGTGTCCCTACCCATGGCATGGGGGTTGGAACAAGGTGATCTTTAGAAATTTCTTCTAACCCAAACCATTCCATGATTCTATTAAAAAAAAAAAAATACTAGAACAAATTTCACTTTAGCAGCTTAATAAGTCTGTTATTTTACATGCAGATGCAAAATGCTTTCAGATTACTTTATTTTCCAGGTATTATTTAAGGAAATAAAGAATAAACACCTTAATCATTATGGTAGCTCATACAGGGGGCAAAAAAAAGAATACTAAAAATGCAAATGTCTCAGTAGGGAAAAAACATTACAGTAGGATCATATAATTCAGTGTGTACTTACAATATTTTGGTAAAATTCACCATATACCAAACATAGAAAAATTTCCGTAAAACCAAATACAATAATCTGAAAAATCATCTGAAGTTAACACATATCATTGAGGTACGAACAAAGCTGGTGCAGTCAAAATGCTGCATCTGCCAACTTTCTTCAACCTTTCTTTCATCCCTTTAAACATAGTCCAAAATATTTAGGGAGAACTTCAGATAGAGAAAGAGGTGGTGGGACTAGCTGGACTACAGCCCAACAGCCTGGTTACCTTAACTTGCCCAGATATACTAGAGAGCTGGCAGTTCAATGAAATGAAGGAAATATTTACTTTCCAAGATAAACTGAACTGGCAGCTTCTGGACTCACACAAGCCATGCTGCATCTAATCTGGATGACCTGGATGGAGCATTCCAAGCTCCTCCCTGGGCTGTGCGATCAGAGTTTCTTCCCTGTGGAAATGGAAAGCCATGAGTGTCCTCTGAAAATCATAAAATCACAGAATACTTAGGGTTGGAAGGGACTTCTGGAGATCATCTAGTCCAATCCCCCTTCCAAGACAGGGTCACCTAGAGCAGGTGACATAGGAACAAATCCAGGTGGGTTTGGAATGCCTCCAGAGAGGGAGATTCCACAACCTCCCTGGGCAGCCTGTTGGAGTGTTCTGCCACCCTCAGCGTAAAGAAGTTCTTCCTTATGCAGAGGTGGAACTTCTTGTGTTTTAGTTATGGCCATTGCTCCTTGTCTTATCCATTCCTATGAAGTTTTACCTAAATGGCCAATGGAGTAATTAGTAAATGACCCTAGTGATCTCATGACTACACATGTAGGAGAAATACTGATGTTCCCAACAGTGGAAACAAGCAGGATGCCTGAACATAATAAATTAAATGTATTTGTCACTGTTAAAGTTTTGACGAAGGAGAATAAGCCATAAATTTTTAGCTGGACTAACACATATGTTTTGCTGCTCTCATCCCGTGCAAATCGCGAAGTTGTTTGATACTCCTTGAAAAGATTAACTAGCTTTCACTAACTGATACGCAGAAAAAGTCACGAAAAGATCTCTCAGCCTGCCCCTTTCTACAAGACAACCCCAAGCCCTCCGGACGGCCGCTGCCCGCAGTGTCCCTGGAAAGGCGCCGCGCCCTCACCTCTGCCCCGCGGCGTCCACGGCCTGCACGTAGAAGTACCGCGCGGGGAGCGCCGCCTGGGCCCGCAGCCCGGGCCCCCACACGGCGCTGCGCTCGGCGCTCGGCCGCCCGGCCCCGCCCGCGGCGGCTGCCAGAGCGAGGCACAGCGGCCACAGCATCGGCAGCGCTGCCCTGACGGGGGAACACCGCAGGAACCGGCCTCCTGCCCTCGCCGCGGCGCTGGGGAGTCCTGCCCTCGCCGAGGCTCCAGGGGCGGCGACACGGGGAAGGCGGGGCGGCGCTGCCGGAGCCGCGGGCTGGGCGGGAGGCGGCGCGGGAGCGCTGAATGGAGGCAGCTGGAATTCGATCTGGAGACATTCTTGTGTCACCCGCACTGTGCGACCCGGCCTTGGCAGGGGGGTTTCACTAGGTGATCTCCAGAGGTCCCTTCCAACCTCACTGTGGGGTCCAACCCAAGTCACTGTTCCGTGGTTCTGTGATGTGTGGCCGCCGGTAGGGCAGGTCTGGCATTGTCCGCAGCAGAGGAGAAAAGGGCACCTCAACAGCCCGATGCCAATCGCCACACACGCACCTTCGGTGATTTCATAGCCATTTGTCTGTCAAATAATCCAACCTCAGGATTCCACTAGCATAAAGCTAGTGCTAGTGCTGTGCTTGACTACAAACAGAATCATTCAGGTTGGAAAAGACCCCTGAGAACGTGGAATTCAACCACTGACTAACCCAGCACTGCCAACTCCACTACTAAACCCTGTCACTGAGAACCATGTCTTACACCTTTTGAATACCTCCAGGGGTAGTGACTCGACCACTAACTTGGGCAGCCTGTTCCACTGCTGCACGACCCTTTCCATGGAGAAATTTTTACTTATATCCAATCTAAACCTGGTGCAACTTGAAGCCATTTCCTCTCATCACTTGCTACTTGAAAAACCAACATCCACCTTGCTAGAACCTCCTTTCAGATAGGTTTGTATTCACACATACTCATATGCTTTTGTCATTTAGCTGCAGAAGCCTTAGAAAAATTAAAGCTTCTTCATGGGAGAACTTGAATCCCAAAAAATGCTTTCAACTTTGCTCGTTATTGCTTTTCTCTTGTTAAGGCAAACAATACAGAAAATTGAACCTCATTATCAAGGAGTCATGAATTTCAAAGACATTTTGTATTTTACATTTTGAAATACTGTATGTTTAGAGAAAAGCACACAAAAGTCACTCACTTGGAGAAAATTGCAAGCTGAGAAATGATCACTTCGTTTAACAAATGCAGTCTTTTCTAACCAACAACCTCATTACGAAATGACGTAAAAATTATCAAGCTTTGGCTTTTAAAGACACAGTTTCTGCCCCATGGTGTTCCCATTGCCGTGATTTTTCAGGACATTCAGCAGTTTAGAAGATTTGCAATTTCCAGCCTAAAAATTCACACGGGCCCTATTTTATGTCCATGACCCTTTAGCTCTTCTCCTTTCCCCATCTTTATTCTGTGGATGTGTTATACAGGCAGAAATCATACTCAGCTTGTATTTTGCTGTACCAGAGAAGCCAGTCCCCTCTAGTGGAAAAGAACTTTAAAGATGTTTTTATTTAAAAAGAAATTTGATAGCTATAGAATTCATAGAACATCCTTCTTCCTAACAGGGTGGCACTGACATGTTATAAAGAACACAGCAGTGATGAAGCAAGAGTGACACATTTCCATCGTCCTGATGTTCTCTCCTCCAGCTTTTCTCCTCCACATAAGTGCTCAGGGAATCCGTACAGAGATCTGGCACTATTTGTCAGCACCCAAACAAGTTGTAAGATAAATCATGCAACCTAATTTTAGCCCTGGCTGGCAAAGCCAACGTTGCTGCTACCCTAATGTCTATAATTTGGCTCAGATGAAAATGCTTTGGAGGCAGAATTATTTAATTACATCAAAAGCTGTTGGCCGATTAAGGCTCAACAGGCTTCCAGCTGGCAAAGGCATAAGGGCTGCTCTCCATTACAATAGGCACGTTATCTCAGGTTGAAGCCACATAAAATACTGAAAGCTCGTGTCCAGGGTGTTAAAGAATACATTCAGTGCATGCAGGTAGCTTGGTGTGCAACTGCAGTGCCAGCTGCAGGTTGAGCTCTGGGGGCGCAGGAGCCCCAGCCCAAGGCAAGAGTCTGTGAACTGCCAACCTTTTGCCTAACAAGGGGCACTGGGACCTGTGGCCCATCCAGGGGACCAGACACTCAGAGACATGGCAGAAGCCAACAACCCCCAGACTCACCCTTCCTTAGACTGTGAGGATCTAAAAGCCCAGGGGTCCCTTTGTTCGGGGTCCCTCCTCAGCATGAGCTGTTATTCTGTTATTTAGTTATTGCACCAAGATTAAATTATTTCAAGGATCTGGATGTCTGAGACTGTGCTATGGTAAACCTGGGGTTGAGCTTGTGAGGAAACCTGGTCTGACTGTGAGTGCAGGGGCTGTAGCTGCGAAGGGGCCTCGGCCCCACCTCACACAGTGCAAGCGTGACTGCCAGAGTGGCTGGACAGGGAAGTTTCCCTAACACAGGGGATGGCAAACTTGACTGTACCCACGACTTCTTTCTAGAGGACTTTTTCAACTTTGCTCTGCCTAACCACTATCAAGTAACTCTAGCATTTGAGGACATTTTTCCCATTATCTGCAGCACTTCTCACATAAACTACTGCTGGGAATAGGGGCTCTGTGGGCTGAGACCACTGTGCTGTAATTGCAGGCAGTGAATCTTCTTCAGCAGTACACCATATAACTTTTTCATATTTTTTTATTAAAAATTTTGTAACTACTTTGTTATAAAATCAATCAATTAATATCATGATTGCAGATATTTAAAAATAATAGAATTTTAAACAATAGTGGAAGTACCAGAACAGCTCCAATTGTATCTTCAATGTCACCGTGTTTGTTCATGTTGAAATTACGCTGGGTGAAGGACGAGATGAGAAATATTTTCTGCAGTTCCAGACACTGTTACCTGAAATAAATTTCTGTTCCTTCATAGAATTTTCCAGAAGCATTTTGGTTACATGTACTCTTACTACTGTCAGGGGAAGGAAGAGAAACCTGGTGCAAATAAAAGGTCCTCATGTCAGTCCCGTGTTCTCCAGGAGAACCCAACACTCAGTTATGCTCCTACACCTTTCCCATGCTTAGCAGGAAGATGTAGAAGCGTGACCCCAAAGTTGAGCCAAGGCTTGTGTTGAGCCTGGCCTACCCTATCCCACTTTAACCTAAGAGCTTGGGGCAGCAGGGTCTGGT